TGTTCCCATCAGCGTCTCGAAGACACCAAGCAACGTATTCTTGTGTCTGATAGAAGTACTCCCCAACATTAAAAAAAAACCACAGATCTATACCTTATATAAGCTTCCCCATTGCCAGAGGGAAATACACTAGTCGACTGCTGGATTTGTGTTGGAATCCCAAAAAGTGTTGTCAGCTTTGGCATACTCAAAGTCGGGGGTCCGAAAAGTTTGGGTTATACAACAATGAGAACAAGTCTCAGTGAGTAAAACCCCCTAAACCTAGGCTAGGCTAACATACATCTTCTGACAAACGAAACAACACACTACGCAAACAATGACCTAAGCCCTTGGGCCCAGATCGATCATCACATTGCCCCTGCAGGTTCAACAGTTCGGTATATACAATCACGACACATACATGGCACGCATAGTCACACGTACGCCATACGCATGTTCATGCTCAATAGTTTTTGTTTCGCATGCTAATAACCGAATCTCGCACATTCACACAATAGCCCATGCACTCTTATGCATGTAAATGTCATCATCATGCCATGTTTCATTCTGGCTCATACTGCACACTGGCTCAATACTCAATTATTAAGTTATTACGACCCGGAAAACTCATCGGGTCCAGTGTCTATAGCCTGCTACAAAGTGCATGAGGCGCAACACTGTTCTTATCACAACACTCCGTGGCCAGCGTAAAAACGCATTCCCGGCCCAGTGTCTCTAGCCTGCAATAAAGTGCATGAGGCGCAACACTGATATCCTTACGAACCAGAGCCCGCGTTAAACGCATCAGGTTGGTCGTCATCTGGATGTACCGGGCATCGTCCTGCTACAAAGTGTATGAGGACGGCACACCCCGCATAACACGCATCAGGGCGAAATATGATCACACATACACACAGCCAGTTATTATCTGAACCCCGTGTAACACGCATCAGGGTAATTAGGTGATCACATGCTCATGTCAGGCGCGCATTCTCGCACAATCTCAACTCATGCCTCATTCTCGACATACAATGCGTGGCCATGAAATGAATAAATGCAACATGAGCATCATATATCTCCCTCAGGTATTTAATCAATCCATATCGCTATAACGTACTCAACTGGCCGATTTAATACTGTGCGGCCCAATACGCAATTCAACAATCGGAGAAATAACTCAAGCCGTCAATTGACTAATCACACTCCGCATCATTTGGCCACCTAAACACACGACATGGCAATACCCGATTTACTATAATGGAGCACAAACAACTATTAACCAGTCAACCCGGAAATACCCGGCAATTCAAACGTATAATACTCAATTAGTCCATTTTAACCCAATAAATCGCCAAATGGACAGCCACTATTCACTCCCCTATTGGCCTCCAAATTACCATTTGATTCACCACAATAATCCACCAATTAATCGCGATGTTAACCTTGCACTACCAATATCAAATTCTCCTCGAATCGCACCAGTATATTCTAAACCGTGTCCGTCTAAAAATGTACACTGTCATAGACCGGGTTTAGAAAGTGATACTCACTTAATTCTAAGCTAGGGCGACGAGAACGGGCGGCCAATTGCCGATGAACGGCTGAATCGACGGCGGCGTACCAACGGTGGGCGGCGGCGCGGCTCACGGCGGCGAGAGGCGACGGTCCGGACGGCGGCTGAAGGTGGCGGGGATGAGGCGGCGAAGAAGGAGTGGTTCGGTGAGGGTGAGAAAAGGTGGCGAGGACGGCGGCGACGGTGACGCTCCGGCGGCCGGCTCGGCTTCTCGGTGAAGGACGGCTCCGACGTTCCTTGGCCGGGAGGGGGAGAGAGCGAGAGAGATGACTGATCGGACGGGAGGGCGATGAGGACCACGGCACAGCTGAGCAGCGGCACGGCGGCGTCCCGGCTACGAGCAGCTCCGGCGTGCACGGCGGACTCACGGCCGAGAGGAAGAGAGCGCCGGCGGACGGGGAGGATGATCGTGGGAGGCTGGCCGGGAGAGGAGATAGAAGGTGGAGGGAAAATGTGAGGAGAGAGAAAGTCAAATGGGTCAAATATTGGGGCTAGTGAATGCCAAGTGTCACTAATCTAGACCCTTTGACCAAAATACACCGAATCTAATGGTTCTAATCTAATCTTATCCAACAATTGAGGGGCAAGATGGTCTTTAGCCCTAATAATTGAGCTAAAATACAATTTCAATTAATCCAAAATAATTCCTAAAATTCGGAGCCCAAAAATAGGCCAGGGGCAAAATGGTCATTTTTCCGGCCCCAGGTCGAAATTCCATTTTTCGACCGTACCAACCCCAAATGTGTGTGGCCAACATAATATAACGTCGGATTCTCAAAAATAGCCTCGTAAGCCCTCGAAAATCGGCATCGAAATCCGGGCCCAATTACGCGGTCAAAACTTGCTCAATTTCAAATTTCAGTGTCTCTCACTAACGAGCGGCTGTTTAGGGGTTACGCATATCGACTAAGATTATCCGAGTCGTCATGGCCTCGATTCTCGGGAAAACGAGAGGAATTATCGCTAGTTCCTGAGGTTACGATCGTTCGGTTCAAGTTCAGGATCGATTGGCCACGCGTACTTTCGATCGCACAGAATCACCTGCTATCCGATCGTACGTCATTGGCCTTGGCCAAACCATATCCGTCACCTTCCTATGATCGGGTCCCCGGTCCACGTACCGTTTTCCTAGTTAGCCATACCCCATTGGTTAGTATCCCGAGAGTGATCAGCTCTGGGCGAGACTTGCTAAAATGAAATGAGAAATAATACTCATTTTATTGATTCCGGAATTGAGTGGAAATTCGGGCTGTTACAACTCTTCCCCCCTTACAAAAATTTCGTCCTCGAAATTTGCAATCTATCCTTATCTACTCAAATAACTGGGGGTACCGACGTCTCATGGCCTCTTCACTTTCCCACGTGGCACCTTCAGTTCCATGATGCTCCCAGACAAACTTGACCATTGGGATCGTCTTATTCCTTAGCACACGATCTTTCCTATCTTCGATCCTGACCGGTCTTTCCACGTACGACACTTTGTCGTCCACGTCTATCTCCTCGTACTTCAGAACGTGGGTCGGATCTGGTTCATATTTTCTCAACATCGACACGTGGAATACGTTGTACACTTGGGACAAATTGGGTGGCAAGGCAAGTCGGTAAGCCATATCACCAATCTTTTCTAAAATCTCAAAGGGGCCGACGTACCTTGGACTGAGCTTTCCTTTCTTACCAAATCAGGACAATCCTTTCATAGGTGACACCCTGAGAAATACATGATCTCCAACTTGAAACTCCAAGGGTCGTCGTCTCCGATCGGCGTAACTTTTCTGGCGGTTTTTCGCGGTCTTAAGTCTTTCCTTGATAATCTCAACTGCCTCGACCGATTGTTGCACTAATTTAGGATCTGTAATACTTCGCTCACCTACTTTGTCCCAACACAAAGGCGTCCTACACGCTCTACCATACAAGGCTTCAAACGGTGCCATCTGGATACTTTGCTGTTAGCTGTTATTGTAGGCAAATTCCACTAAAGGTAGCTGTTCTTCCCATTTGCCTTGAAAGTCCAGTACACAAGCTCTCAACATGTCCTCTAGGGTCTGAATTGTCCTTTCAGACTGGCCATCTGTCTGCGGATGATAGGCCATACTGAATTGCAACTTGGTTCTTAAGGTCGATTGCAAACTTTTCCAAAAATTGGCCGTAAACCTCGAATCTCGTCCGACGTGATCGATACTGGTACCCCATGCAATCTAGCAATCTGTCGAACATACAGTTCCGCGTACCTTTCCAATTCGAAATCCTTTCGCACCGCCAAAAAGTGCGCTGACTTAGTCAGTCGATCCACTATCACCCATATCGAATCATGTCCTCTCTGGCTTCGTGGCAATCCCGTTACAAAATCCATCGTGATGTTTTCCCATTTCCATTCAAGGATTTCTAACGGTCTTAACAGCCCTCCAGGCTTACAGTGTTGGGCCTTCACTTGTTGGCACGTCAAGCACTTAGCTACCTGCTTGGCCACATCTTTCTTCAGTCCATTCCACCAATAATAATGCCGCAAAATCTGGTACATCTTTGTGCTACCTGGATGGATACTGTAATTACTGCGATGTGCCTCTCTTAAAATTTCCTCCTTGAGCTCCAAGTCATCAGGCACACACAATCGTCCATGGAACTTCAAAATTCCATCCTCACTAACTTGAAATTCCGGTTTCCTTGAGGCGGCATCCATTCCGATAATCTTTTGGATCTCTCCGTAGACTGGAGTGCCTTAATCCTTGCCCGGATTTCCGGTTCGATTCTCAATGCGACCATCAGACTAGATATCTGGCTCACCTCAAATTTAAACTTTGAGTCTCTACGCCTTTCCAGCAAAGTCCACTCTTTGACCAACATTTGCGCCATACTTGACTTACGACTTAGCTCATCCGCTACTCTATTCGCTTTTCCCGGGTGGTACATGATGTCGCAATCATAGTCCTTTAGAAGTTCCATCCATCGATGCTACCTCATATTCAATTCCTTCTGTGAAAACAATTACTTGAGACTCTAATGATCCGTATAAATCTGAAACCTTTCTCCACATAAATAATGCCTCCAGATCTTAAGGGCAAAGACAATCGTTGCCAACTCTAAATCATGCGTCGGATAGTTCCTTTCATGCAGCCTCAACTGACGCGACGCGTAAGCAACTACCTTCCCGTGTTGCATCAGGACGCAACCAAGTCCCCTTAACGAAGCATCACTATAAACCTCAAATCCACCTGGCCCAGATGGCATGGTCAATACTGGGGCCGTTGTAAGCCTATGCTTCAACTCCTGAAAACTTTTCTCGCACTTATCATTCCATTCAAATTTAGATTCCTTCTTCAACAATCGCATCAGTGGCATGGCTATCGAGGAGAACCCTTCTACAAAACGCCGATAATAGCCAGCCAATCCTAAGAAACTCCGAATCTCGGTTACGGAGGTCGGCCTTGGCCACTTCATTATTGCCTTGATCTTAGCTGGGTCTACAGAAACCCCATTTCCCGAAACTATATGCCCAAGAAACGCTACTCTACTTAACCAAAAATCACACTTACTAAACTTGGCGAAGAGTGCGTGTTCTCTCAAAGTCAGTAGAACCTCAGTCAAATGTACCTCATGCTCCTCTGGGCTTTTCGAATACACCAAAATATCGTCGATGAACACTATGACAAATCTGTCCAGAAATTCCTTGAACACTTTGTTAAATAGGTCCATGAAGGCGGCGGGGGCATTGGTCAATCCGAAGGGCATCACTGTAAACTCGTAGTGCTCATACCGCGTTCTGAAAGCGGTCTTAGGTATATCCTCCTTCCGGATCCTTAACTGATGGTATCCAGTCTGCAAATCAATCTTAGAAAACACAGATGCTCCTTGCAGCTGATCAAATAGATCATCGATCCTAGGGAGTGGATACTTATTCTTAATTGTTACCTGATTCAACTGCCGGTAATCAATACACAACCTCAATGTCCCGTCCTTCTTCCTCACAAACAGGTCCGGTGCTCCCCATGTAGATACAATAGGACGAATAAAACCTTTATCTAATAATTCCTGTATCTGGACCTTTAGTTCCTTCAATTCGGACAACGACATCTGATACGGTGCCTTTGAAATCGGCTCAGTCCCAGGGGCCAATTCTATCACAAATTCCACTTCTCGCTCGGGCGGTAAACCAGGCAATTCCTCAGGAAAGACCTCGGGGAAATTACATACTATGGGTATCTCTTCCAACTTAGGTTCCGTCATTGTTGGATCCACAACATTCACCAAATATCCTTCACAACCTTCGTCTAGCAACTTTGTTTCTTCGAGCGAGGAAATCCAAGGAATCGAGGTTCCTCCTCGGTTTCCCTGAAATTCAAACCTTGGACTTCCAATCGGATTAAATTGAATCGTCCTATTGCCACAATCCATAACGGCCTTCTGGCTCACTAGCCAGTCCATCCCAATTATCACATCGAAATCGAACATGGCCAACACTGCCAAGTCAATACTTTCTTCCCTACCCCCAATCACAATCTTACAGTTGGGACATCCAAAAGAGACTAACATTTTATCATTCATAGGCATCGACACATTAAGCATAGTCTCAAGCAACAATGGTTCCAACCCAACTAACTTAACTAATTGCTCCGAAACAAAAGAGTGGGCCGCCCCCGGATCAAACAACGCATAAGCAGCATGATTGCAGAGATAAATGGTACCTGTGACCACGCCCGGCGCATTCTCAGCTTCTCTGCGCGCCATGCCATAAACTCTTCCCTGCGTCGGTGGTCGTCCTTGATTGGCCGGTGGGGGAGGTCCGGCTTGATTTCCAACTCGGGAAGGCGGCAACCTGGGCGGTCCTGAGGGATGCTGCTGTGGGCAACTCCAAATCTGGTGCTCCAGACTCCCACACCTGAAACATGGCCCAAATCTACTCGGCTGGGGGCTTGGCTTTCCTATATTTCCTGCCATAGGCCTTTTTCCCATACGGCGGTTATCTCTGCTTTGGGTAAACCGCGATCCAAAAGCAGCTGCTCTTTCTTGTTGGTCCCGCTCTATAATCTGAGCCCGCCTATACATTTCTCCATAATCCTTAATGTCGTGCGATAATATCTGACTCCGAAGATCCGGCCTCAATCCGTCCCGGAATCTTCTAGCCCTATCTCGTGAGCTTTCTACCATTGTCGGGGCAAACTTTGCCAATCTCGCAAATTCTGCTTCATATTGGTCAACGGTCATCTGACCTTGGCGTAATCGCATAAATTCCATTAACTTCTTTTCCTGGGCATTCTCCGAGAAATACTTCTCATAAAAACTTTCGACAAACACTGCCCAGTTCAATTCTGCACCTACCGAGAATACCCTACCCCTGGTGGCTTTCCACCAATCATTCGCACTACTCTGCAACTGATATGCCGCCAACGTCACTTTCTCTGCATCGGTGCACCCCAACACCTCAAATGCCTTCTCTAATTCCTCTACCCAATCTGGGGCAGCTTCGGGGTCACCCTTGCCATTAAATTTTGGCGGCTTCATCTTCAAGAATTGCTCTACCAACTGGGCCATCTGCCTGGCTACTGCGGGTTGGGCCTACCCTTGCTGGGCTTGATTACCTTCATTACCAGCTATTGGTGCAGCCTCAGCAGCCTGCGCATAAGCGGCGGCCCTTTCCTGCGCTTGTATGCCCATTATGTGTCTTATTTCCCGCAGAGTATCCATCACATCGTCAAACCTTAGGTCTCTAGCCTCGCGGACTCCCTCACTAGACTGACCTTGGGACTCTTTTCCTCTTCTCCTACTCATCCTTACGAACTCGGCTACTCAACTACCTGCTATAATTCCACTAAGGAATTAAAGACTTAACCAATCTAATCCAGTCTAAGTCTTAGGCAGGTTTCTAGTAAAACAAGCTAGCACTTAGCATGCGTTCCAACACAACTGACACAAACTTCACCCATGGAGATTAGCACACTTACCTCGGGTCCTGCCGCACCAGCATTATTACGGTCACACAATCAATCACTCAAAGCACAAACTGTCAGAAGATGTACTTAGCACACGTGGTCACCCTATGGACTACCCATGGTCTCATTGCTCCTTATCACTCCAGATTTCGACCGAAATGGACCGAGCTAACCTTGCTCTGATACCAAATAAAAAGGGGATGTCACACCCCGTACCCCACGAAGCGATAACATCCCACGCACAGGTCAAATTTTGTTGCAACGCTCCCAGGACGCGTCGTCGACCCAAAACCCAAACAGAGAAGATAAGGCACATGCGAAAGCAACGTATATAAATATATATACACCCGTACAATATACTCATGAGACCAAAGTTAGAATAACAACCAGACTGGAATATACTTACAAATATACATTTTCATTTCTACGAGGAAACCTTTTTACAATATCCATTTGTACAATATCAAAAAAAAAAAATCCAGCCCAAGCAGTCAACAGTCACTCGATAAAAAAGGGGCAGGTGGCTAGGGGAGGATAGGGCGTCTACAGGGAAGGTCACAGTCAAAAAGGAACGAACTTCCCTTCTTAGAGCTAGGGCCTATACTAGGGCTCCTAGTTAGGGTCTGAAGACTCCGAAGAATCATCCGACGACTCCTCCGAAGAACTCCCAGGGGGCTCAGACTCCTCTGGCTCCATATCTTGTGCTGCAGCCCACTCATCCTCTGAATCCGGCTCCAACTCCGTGTCCAAGTACAGTCCTATCTTCTCATCCGAGCCTAACTCTGCAACCTCCCCATCCTCATCTAAATCCATGGCCTCCGGTTCATCCTCTTCGTCCGCGAACTGATCTGGGTCCTCGACTATCACTTGCGGTTCCTCACCCATTGCTTCATCCTGGAAATTCCAATCATGATTATCCTGGGGATTTATCACCTCACCGTCCGAGACTATAGGCGCCATCAAGCCATTCACATCAAGTGGGGCATCGAAGGTCTTGAGAGGCCGGCCTATGTTCCCATCAACGCCTCGAAGACACCAAGCAATGTATTCTTGTGTTTGATAGAAGTACTCCCCAATATTAACAAAAACCACAGATCTATACCTTATATAAGCTTCCCCATTGCCCGAGGGAAATACACTAGTCGACTGCTGGATTTGTGTTGGAATCCCAAAAAGTGTTGTCAGCTTTGGCATACTCAAAGTCGGAGGTCTGAAAAGTTTGTGTTATACAACAATGAGAACGCATCTCAGTGAGTAAAACCCCCTAAACCTAGGCTAGGCTAATATACATCTTCTGACAAACGAAACAACACACTACGCAAACAATGACCTAAGCCCTTGGGTCCAGATCGATCATCACATTGCCTCTGCAGGTTAAACAGTTCGGTATATACAATCGCGACACATACATGGTGTAACATCCTGAATTTCGACCCATTTCCGAGATCCAACGAAGTGGATATTATTTCTCATTTGATTTTAATACGTCTCGCCCGGAGCTGGCCCCTCGCAGGATACTGACCAATGGGAAAGGTTAACTAGGAAAATGGTACGTGGACCGGGGACCCGATCGCGAATCGGGCACTGATTCCGAGAAACGACAGGGAAGTATTTTGGGTCAGTGTGGGTCGATCTTAGGAAAGTGACGGATTTGGTTTGGCCAACGACGTACGATCGGATCGCGGGTGATTCCGCTCGACCGAGAGTACGAGTGGCGAACAAATCCCGAACTTGAACCGAACGATCGTGACCCCTGGAATAACCAATAATTCCTTACGTTCTCCCGGTAATCGAAACCGTCACGACTCGAGTGACCCTAGGTTGATACGCGTAACCCTTAAACAGCCACCCGTCAGTGAGAGGCTCTAAAATTCTGAATTGAGCAATTTTGATCGCCAAATTGGACCCGAACTTCGATGTCAAAATTCTATGGGTATTTATGACTATTTTGCGAGACCGACGTCATTTTTGAGTGGCCAATCATATTTGGGGTCGGTACGGTCGAAAAATGGAATTTTGACCCGGGACCGGAAAATTACGAAAATGCCCCTGTGCCCTATTTTTGGAGTTCCGAATTTTGAGGATTTTTGGGGACTTCATTGTGGATAATTATTAGAATTATTGAATTACCAAAAGGCCCCTCAATTATTGGATGGAAGTGATTAATGGCCATTGGATCAAAGGGGCAAAATAGTCCAAGGGCTAGATCGCGACACGTGGCACCACCTTTTTTACCATAAGCCCACTTTGACCCATTTCTCTCTCCCCCATCTTCATTTTCACGCCGGTCATCTTCCTCCCCCAACCATCTCCCTTCTCTCTTCCCTTGGCCGTGAGGAGCAGCCACTACCGGAGCAGCCGTCGCCGCCGCCGGAACGCCGCCGTCCATCGCCGTGAGGACGCCGGAGCGCCGCCGCTGAACCGGTTTGATCCAGCTGCTGTTCAGCCCGTTTCTCTCCTTGTTCAACCCACTTTTGAAGCTTAAACCTAGTGAGTGGAAATCCTAACTCTTAATTAGGATTATGTGCACTTTGGATAAGTTTTAGGGGTTAATTAGTGGGGGCTGATTTGGGCTGATGTTGTGGTGATTTTAAGGGCCTAAGGTGATGATTTAGAGATGGTTTTAAGGCTGTGGAGACTTGGTTTAGAGGGTGTATAAGCTCGATTTGCTTAATGGTGCAAGTGTAATGATTCTTGGATTACTGATTTTACTGTACCTCTGCGCTTTGTTATTTTTTTTGTGATCATTTTGGGCCGAATATGAAGAAGTGTTCTTCATGAAAGTTATTCCCAACATATTTAAGTATAACATACTTTAATTTGGGAATTTTTGGAAATCATTTGGGGTCATTCGGAAGTCCATCTTTGGACCGAAACAAAACTGCCCGATTTACTGTTCACCCGACCTTCTGGTCTGTTCGAATTTTTATAAATTTTTTCAGGCCTATTTTCAAAATACTTCCTTCACAAAAATTGTCGGAGACATTTGTGGCTATAACATATAAAAATTTCAAGGCTTTCCAAAATGATTTGGGTACTGAATGAGTTGTATTTTGATGGCCTGAGGGGCTGTCCGAACGAATCGGATTTTGTCCGACTTTGAGTATCAAAACGAGGTGTTTACGGTTAGAACTGGGTTTCTAGTTCTACATGGAAAATGTTCATCGAGATGTTTTGTACAACATATCCAAATTTCAAAATTTTTGGAATTGATGAACCATTTATTTCAAATGGATTTCTATCACTGTGCAACTACCCAGTTTGGACCCGATTTTGTATATTCCCGGTTTTTCTCTCTCTCGGACTGATTAGTGGCTGTCCATTGAGGTTTAATTGGGCCTTGTACGGCTAATGTGTGGTTTGTTCGTGAATTGCCATGTGTGAATGGTTGGGCCATGTGGTGGCTGATTTGGGTACAAATTGTGCTTGATTGTGTTAAATTTTGTGGTGCCTCGCTTTAGCGACTTGGTAGTTGATTGGTACTTTGTTGTGCTCAATTGTTTAATGCCATGCCGCCTGATTTCGTGTTCGAGCAATGCGGTGTGTGATTGGCCAATCATTGGTGTGAATGTTTATTGCCCAAGCGCGTAAATTATGTTTTGGGCCACATGGTACTAGTTGGCCAAGTGCGCATGTTATGCGAATAAGTATGGGCAATCGATTGGCTATTTGAGCACGTTGATTTGGCATGTTTGTTGAAATGCCGTGCTGAAATTGAATGCTCATGTTGCATTGTACGACATTGCATGGCCACGCATTGTGTATGCCGAGAATGGGGCATGAGATGAGATTGTGCGAGAATGCGTGCCTGACATGAGCATGTGATCACCTAATTGCCCTGATGCGTGTTACGCGGGATTCAGATAATAACTGGCTGTGTGTATGTGTTATCACAATTCACCCTGATGCGTGTTACGCGGGGTGTGCCGTCCTGATGCGTTTTACGCGGGCTCTGATTCGTGAGGAGATCGGTGTTGCGCCTCATGCACTTTGTAGCAGGCTAGAGACACTGGGCCAGAGATGCGCTTTATGCGGGCCACGAAGTGTTGTGATTAAGAAAGAACAGTGTTGCGCCTCATGCACTTTGTAGCAGGCTAGAGACACTGGACCTGATGCGTTTTACACGGGTCGTAATAATAATTGAGCATTGAGCCAGTGTGCAGTGTGAGCCAGAATGAAACATGGCATGATGATGACATTTGCATGCATAAGAATGCATGGGCCAGTGTTCGAGTGTGCAAGACTCGGTGAGTGGCATGCGAGAGGAACACTTTGAGTATGAGCATGCGTATGCCGTACGTGTGAAAATGTGTTTCACGTATGTGCCGTGATTATTATATCGAACTGTTTAACCTGCAGGGTCAGCAAGGTCAGCGATCCGGGCTCAAGGGCCTAGGTCATTTGATTGACATTATTGTCCGTTGTTGTGTTGATTTGCTTGTCGGGAGGTGCATGTTAGCCTAGTTTCGGTTTAGGAGGCCTACTCACTGAGATTCGTCTCATAGTTGTTTAAACCCCATTTTTCAGACTCCTGATAGAGGTTGCCTGGTGTACCCGATCCATATGAGAATCCAGAGCCCATAAAGCAGGAATCCGAACAGG